AGAAATACAGATACATGAGTGGTATATTCTGAGAATAGCATTAGATATGGACTGTCTCAGGTAGTTTTTAAATCGAGCGAATGTCACCTTTTCCTGCGACTCCTCATTGTACTTTATTTCTCCCTATATTTTTTGTTATTATTTTTAACAGAATTTAAGAGTTTTAGGTTTACAACAAAGTTGAACAGAAATAAAAGTGAGTTCTCATATACCCCTATCTCCTCAGACATTGCCTCCTGCACTGTCAACATCTGGCACCAAAGTGGTATAGCTGTCACAATCAGTGAAACTGCACTGATACAGTATTATCAACTGAAGTCCATAGTTTACATTAGGTTTACTCTTGCTGTTGTACATCCAATGGATTTCAATGAAATTATAATGATAGTATCATACAGAATAGTTTCACTGCCCTAAAAATCTTCTGTGCCACTGCATTCCAGCTCTGTGATCTGCATATTCATTTCTCCCTTCTTGCTAACCCGAAGGAAACACTGATTATTTTACTGTCTCTATGGTGTTCCCTTTTCCAGAATGTCATATAGTTAAAATCATACAGTATATAGCCTTTTCACATTGAATTCTTTCACTTAGTAATATGCATTTAAGTTTCCTTAATATAATCTCGTGGCTTGACAGCTCATTTCTTTTTGGCGCTAAATAATATTTGATGGCCTGTTGTACCACAGGTTATATATTGATTCCTCTACTAAAGGATGGGTTTCAAGTCTTGACAATTATTAATTAAGCAGCTGTAAACATCCTTGTGTAGTTTTTGTACTGAGATACATTTTCAACTTCTTTGTGTAAATATTAAGGAGTGTAACTGCTGGATCATATGGTAAGAATATGTTTAACTGTGTTAGAAACTGCCAAACTGTCTTCTAAACTGGTTGTACCATTTTGCATTTCTACCAGAAAAAAAATGAGAGTTCCTGCTGTTCTATACCAAATGCTAGCAAGGAAATGGAACAGCAGGAACCAACAACATTTGGTGTTAGATTTTCGCCATTTGAATTGGTATGCAGTGATATCTTTTACGATTTTAATGTATAATTCCCTGATGATACATGATGTTGAGCATCTCTTCATATATTTCCTTGCCACTTGTTTATATTCTTTGGTGAGATGACCATTCAGGAATTTTGATCATTTTCTAGTCGAGTTGTTTGTATTCTTATTTTTATGTTTTAAGAATTCTTTGTATATTTTGGATAACACTCTTTTATCAGATGTTGTCACAAATATTTATCCCTGTCTATGGCTTGTCTTCTCCTTCTCTTGACAGTGTCTTTTGCAGAGCAGGAGTTTTAAATTTTAATGAAATCCTGCTTAGCAATTCTGCTTTTCATGGATTCTGCCTTTATTGCTGTATCAAAGAGGTTTGGATTCTGCCCTTATTGCTATATCAAAGAAGTTATTTCCATACTCAAGGTCACCTTGATTTTCTCCTATGTTACCTTGCAGGAGTTTTATAGTTTAACATTTTATATTTAGGTCCATGACTCATTTTGAGTTAGTTTTTGTCAAGAGTGTGAGGTACGTGTCTAAACTTTGTTGTTGTTGCACATGGATGTCCAGTTATTTTAGCACAATTTGTTGAAAGGTCTATGTTTCTTCATTACATTGCCTTTATTTCTTTGTCAACAATCACTTGATTATCTTGATATGGTTCTATATTTGAAATCCCTATTATGTTCCATTGATCTATGTATCTGTTTTTTCACCAATACCACAATGTCTTGGTGACCATAGCTTTACAGTCTTTAGAACTTTAAATCTTGAAGTTGGACAGTGTCAGTCCTTCAGCTTTGTTCTTTTTACTCAATATTGTTGTTTTGACCATTCTGCCTCTCCATGTAAACTTTAGAATCACTGTCAACATACACAAAATAACTTGCTGCAGTTTGGATTGGGATTGTGTTGAGTATGTAGATGAAGCTGAGAAGTACTGATATCTTGACAATTTAGAATCTTCCTCACTATGTTTTTATCTTTGTGTTTTACTTAAATATTTGTTCAAGGAAAGAACAATTTGAACTCTTCCAAACATACTAAATACCAGCCACATTAGAATTTTTCTATGAGAAGCTGTATTAGGTTACTAACCCCTATTCAAATAAAAATATTAATTACAGAAAATAAAATGGAATCATTACCAGAGGAGACACAACAACAGGAGATGGAAAACCCATAACCAAACAATCATTATTATCGGCATATCAGAAATAGCACCTGACTTAGTTAAGATATTGTGCTTTGACAGGAATACTATCATGTTTCAGGACATAACTTATTCAACAACTGTATACTCACAGCTTCCAGAATGGAAGTCTACTTCTAGAAGGGCAAGATACTTAAAACCTGAAGCTTTGTAATTTTTTTTTTTTCTGACAGGGTTGGAGGGTGATTTGCCAACATGTCATTATTCAATGTTTGTTAAGAGAAATGTAAAGGTCAAAACGTGGTGCTTTTTGTTTCTGCTGGAGTACTCAGAGTCAGAAAGATACAGTTCAACACAATATAAATCATTACAAATTCTTCTTCCCAGAAATTCAAGACACATTAATCAAAACAAATGGAACTCAAGAAATGAAAACAACTGGAGGGTGAATAAACAAAAACATGATTGGGTTGAAAATATAAAAAATATTTATTAAAATACCAAAAATATTAAATAGAAACATTCTGACATAATGATTTCAGATATAGTTCACATTTAAATAAAGAATGTATGGTCACATATAATTCAAGTAAAAATATCACCTTTTGCCTAAAGTTTTCTGGTTAAGTGCAAAACCTTCCTCTTTATCCTAACTGTGTAGATAATTATATCACTCTGCATAGTTATGTTAGGAGTTTAATTTTCAAGCTAAATCAAAATCACTTAAAATGTCAATGATAGTTTTAGAAATTTGGACATATCAAATTCAATATTGATACTTGATTGAAAAATCTAAGTGTCTTTGAATCGCTGTCACAAACTTTATATATTCAAAATTAGTTCACAAAAATAAGACAAATTTCTGCATTCTACAACCTCCAAATTTCTAATAACTTTATTCTAAGAAACTGCAGCTATAGTAGTGATATTCCTTCAATCCTCAGAACACTCAGGAAGCAATTTTTTTTTTTTTTTTTTTTTTGAGACGGAGTTTCACTCATGTTACCCAGGCTGGAGTGCAATGGCGCTATCTCGGCTCACCGCAACCTCCGCCTCCTGGGTTCAGGCAATTCTCCTGCCTCAGCCTCCCGTCAGGAAGCAATTTTTAACAAATGTTTTATCTTAGCAAGAACTTTAGAATACAAATCAAAGGTATTTATTCTAAACTTGTAAAGAAAGTAAATAATCTACCAAGAGCGCCAACAGCTTCATGGCTGCCAATAGATACAGGGATCACTGCTCTCTCCCCCTACTCTGTTTCTTTTAGTTGGAGAGCCAAGACAAAGGAAAAACAAAATAATTTCAGACTTATATTTCTGTTGCTTCATTTTTCTTCCTTCCATTTCATTACAAATTGATTAGGAGTTTCTATTAAAGCCTTCAAATGTTATCAATATGCAGATGACTTACAAATAGCTATTCGCCCCTCTTGTCTGACCTCTAAATTCTGGTCTTACTTATTCAAATGTTCACCTAGTAACTCCACATGAATGTCTAATGGGAAACTCAAATCTAATATGTTCAAAACTAAATTCTTGGGCAACTCACTTTGCCATCAAAACTTGAGATTCCCTTTGTTGAATAACACCATCATATACTCCCATAGCCAACCCAAAAGGCAAATGCCCATCCCTGAATTCCGCCCTTTCCCTCAATGTCTGTTCCAGTATCTCTGCAGGTACTATGCAATCAGTGTTCATCTTTCACTGGTTCATATCCCCCTTGAAGCCAAGGACCATATTTCTTGAATCTGTTAAGTCCTTAGGACCTAGTAGGGTGTATATACAAAGGTCAAATATTTTAAAACAAATAAAATTACTTATATAACAGCTTATTCATTTGCTAAGCAAATAATTGATTTTACATGTCTACATTGCAAGTCATACTGGCAACTTCACTGCATTGAAGAAGTCACTAGATCTTGGAAGATAAGTTCTGTTGTATCCTTCCTCCTGGTAAAACTCAGAGAAGATACACACAAAGAGTGAATGTTGATTTAAACTGGACTTCAGTTAATAATAATGTATTAATATTAGCTCATCAGTTGTAACAGATTGACCACAATAATGCAAAATGTTAATAGGGTAAACTATATAGGAGAGAAGAGGTATATGAAAGCTCTCTGTACTTTCGGTTCAATTTTTCTTTAAGTCTAAAACTGCTCTGAAAATAACATATATGACATAGGAAAAATATTTCTCTAATTTTTATGCCATTATATTCTCAAGACATTATAATCTAGAGACGCATTTTTTCTCCAATTCCAAATGCCTTGTGTTTTAATACCTAACTTTTATTGGGTAACTATCTTGTTAGCTGAGTATATTTCATTTTCTTTCCCCTAAGTAAAAAGAGATAATATATAATGCTGACTTCATGAAGACTTATGAAGAAATCAATTCTATAATTACAACTGAGAGATAAATGTGTTAGAAATTCACAGTAGTAATCATTTTTAGAGAATTTGGTCCATATAAATTCAATGTTGGCAGCTAGCCATTAGGGGTTTTTGAACTGCTATACCTTGAGAAATGTTGTAAGTTCTTGGTGGAATAAAGAAGAAGAAGAAAGAAAAAAAAAAAGGACAGAATGATTGTTTTCTTTAATAAATTTCCATATAAAAGGGTTTTGAAAGTCTGGCCTCAAGATAATTCCAGAAATAGATTTCAAAGACTGTGACTGAAGTTTCTGTTGTATAGTAAGCTTAAGTTTTATAAAGTGTCAAATTGGTGATAAGTTATATGGACGCCTTCCTTTATAATTGTATAGTCCCATTTTTGTACTACTTTTAATTTGCGAAGTTGCTTTCATATATTAACTTACTTGGTATTCATAGTCATCCTGGGAAAATTGTGGAACAGATGCTAACTGCTAAACAGATAACCACAATTTCACAAAGTAAAGAAAAAAAATGAATGGAAATATCTTCAGTTCCATTATATCAGTCCATTTTCTATTGCTTCATAACACCTGCAACTTGGTAGGTTATAAAGAAAATAAATTTATTTCTTACAGTTATGGAGGCTGAGAAGTCCAAGGTTGAGGGGCCACATCTGGTGAAAACCTCCTTGCTGGTGGGGACTCTGCAGAGTCCTGAGGCAGCAGCACAGGGCATCATGTGGTGAAGGGACTGTGTGTGCTCAGGTGTTTGCTCAGGTGTCTCTTCCTGTTCCTATAGAGCCACCAGTCCTACTCCCATGATAGCCCATGAATCCATTAACCCATGAATGAATTATGATTCAATTACCTCTTTAAGGTCTCACTTGTAAATATTGCCATGTTAGGATTTAAGTTTCCAACACATGAAATCTGGGGGACACATGCAAACCATAGCATCAATGCTAACTATTTAATAGCAATTCTTGTGTTTCAAGATTTCTTAATGAAGGCACTTGCATAGCTGTTCATAGCTGCTTTTAATTATGAGCTCTAAGACACCTAAATTGTCTGAACATACACACACACTTACACTTAACACACATGTATTAATCACACACTGTGCAAAATATTTAAGCCCAATTAAAAATATAAAGGTATGTATAGGCAGGTTGTATCTCTGTACCTCAGAAACTTACAATGTAGTTAGGAAAAAAGGGGAGCTATCACAGGTGTCTCACATAAATTTTTTATAGAATGCTCAGAAGTATGTATTATATTACTATTCCCATTTTACAAATGCCGCAGTGACTTGCCTAAATCCACTGAGCCATGTGAATCAGTTCTGACTATACTCACAATCTGTACTCTTGTCTCTCAGCCTCACTGACTTTTAATAATATAAACATCTAAAATGCTATGAACATAGGATCAGATTTACTAGGATAGTTTTACAGTTGGATATTCTAGTTATTGTCCATTAAGACCTATCAGAAACACCAAATTTCAACAAAGAAACTACTTCTCCAAAATACTTTCTTTCTTCAACCTTTTAAGGTGTCCTCAAATATATTTGTTCTAATTCAGTTTATCAATTTTCAATTGGAAGTGGCCTTGAATTTAAAAGATAAGCAAGAATATAGTAATAAGATATCAGTAGTAGGTCAAATGACTACTCTAAGATTTTTGACAAGGGAGAAGACCTCAGAGAAGGAGGTTGTCTGAGGAGATTCTTTTCTGTAAAGATAAAATTTAATCCATATCATGAAATAGAGTTGAAATTTTTATTTTCTCATTTATGAACTGAAATTAATAATAGTAGTTATATCATTTATTTATATGAAAATTGAGTTAATACTTAGGCTTTTAAAACAGAGCCTGACTTACAAGTTGGAAGATGGAGTACATGTATCTTAACTACTAAGCTTAAACATTTTAAGTTGGTCTTTTAATTTCTATGGCCTAGCATAATGCCTAGCACATAAAAGTATTTAATAATCATTGAATGAATGATGAAATGATGGTGTATCATTGGTAAATTTTGAGTCAGAGAGTATAGTAAGAGGATTATAGTTTCTGGAGGTCAAACTGATATTTGTATTGTTCACTAAGCTTCAGAGATTTGGGTATATGTTCTTTAAAATAATAAATGCATAGCTTGTTTCCTCTTGGTGGAAGGGATCAAAAGGTAGATACATCAAGTTTTCTCTGAAGCTTGTGCCTAACTAGGCTCTATACTTCTGAAGTTTGAGAATTTGCTTTTGCTATTACTAATTGGAACTTGTACAAAGCATTTCATATAGTAGGTGCTCAAGAGTATTTGTTGATTGATAAGACTTGGATTTAGATACAATGAAATAGCTGCTTACATTCAGAGAGAATAGTTAAAGATATCAGAATGTATAGAATCACTTTCCTTTAGATACCAGTTTTTGTATAATATACATCTCTTTCTGTAATTTCATATAACTGGAGACCTGTATTTACCCTTGCCCTACTGACAAAGTAATTAATATTTGATATAAATTTGAATAAAAAGGAACAAAGCTCTCTGTATAACCCAAGACCATGTTGTGAATATAAGTCTGAAACCTCAATGCTTTGGGGGCACTAGGTTGAGGTAGTCAGGGAATTTTCCCAATATCTGTTCTGGTAATGAAGCCTTTAAAAGGAATCTTCATAAACCAAAGGACTTAGGATTAAATACTATGATTATATTTTCTTGTAGAACTATTCAACAACTCTCTGTGAAATCAACTAAAAGTTCAACACATGGCATTTAAGGTGGCATGATTTTACCATAGTTCTCTTTCTCACATATTCCCATGAGTATATGCCTTGGCCATGCTTATTCTTGAAGAGTCTCTGAATTTGACCTTTATTTTCCTCCTTTCTCTTTTGCTACTTCCTCCTGGATCTGCTTGCCAAATATGGAACAGTAATTTGTTTTTAGTAATTTCTCAATAAACATAGTCAACAGATTTTAATTGGGCATCTTTGATGTGTTAGGTATCGCCTTAGGTAATTTGGGGTTATAGAAAAAGGAATGAGACAATCTGCTGTTAAGGAGCTTATAATTTAGAAATTCCCTCCCTGAATAAATATCTTTGATTTACCAGTACTTATGCTACTGCTACAAAATGTCTGGACATGGTAGATACTTTGGAAATATGTATGGAATAAATCAATAAATAATTTTAAAGTACCACTCATCTACCCTCATAGGATTACTTTGTTCTATATTCTTCAAAGAAAATGTAATACATTTCTTGGTCTTTGAACAGCATGCGATAAAAACAGATGTCTGCATGGTTAAATTGCATAACAATTCATTGAGATTATCTTATATGTGTTTTAAATATAAATACTTGAATAGTTTTAGTTGAATTGAAGTGAATTTAACATAAAGTTCTCTTAAGCTCTTTCTAGTAATAAGGACCTAAGTAATTTAGGTATGAATCACTTATCAGTTTAAGTACTGATACAATGACCTACATTCAATGACTGTTTTTATCTAAAAAACAGAATGTCAAGGATTACATCATGCTCCCAGGAGGATTGTACCTTCCATATTGACATCGCTTAACCCAAACAGCAGCTAATAACAGTTATGAGATCACCGGTCTCATTCTTCCTTCATGGGTGGTCTTGAGTCAGAAGACACTCAGAAGTTTTGTGTACATTTGGATTTGTGAAGTGGAAAAAATGCTTGCTATTTTAGCAAAGATATTCAGATACTGTGCAGCATGGAGCAGCCTCGAGCATCATAATCCTGTGCAGCAGCATTAGGAAGAATGACTTAGAACGGAACCTCAAAAAGCACAGTGGTAGCAGTGATAAAGCTTTTTTTTTATTAGATGTGGGCATCTCCATAGAGGAGTAAAGCCATACAAAGGAACTATTACAGCATAGGAAGTCTTCAAAACTCTCAGGGTACATTGAGTGAGCTCTTGGATCTGGCACTGTTTCTTTACAGATCTCATCCTTTTATGCTTCTATGTGAGAGCAAAAGGTAAAGGATTTTGGACATTCTATCTTGCCGACATAGGAATTTTTTCTGCTCTCAAAAACTTATTAAATTCTACTTTGGATCCTTAGATATGGTTTATAGGTATCACAAAGCATATTTCTTTTGTAGTAGTCCAGCAATCTCAGATCAGTTTGAATTGTAATTGAGCAACAATGGAAGTTAAAATACAGGTCGTTGTAGTCTAGTAAGAATATCTCATATAAAATTCAGAAACTTTCCAGATATTAGTCAAAGCAATGCATCAAAATGCCTTGTTCATTATGATAAGGCAAAGTAAATCAGATAAAGATATAGAGAACTTTATCATGTAGACCAAATGCCACACAAAATATACTACAGACATAGTTTTAAGAAACAGACTATTAAATATCATGCATCTTCTAATTTTTAGAGATGCATTGGCTGAACATGTGGCTCTAGAACACATTTGCATGCATGTAGTTACCTATGCATTGTTCTCTCTGAGCAATGAAAATATTCCAACCTTCATTTAACACATTTACCACAACAATTCTGGAACTTTAGTATGTCCACAAATTACCTGGAAAACTTGATTAAAATGCAGATACTACGACTATTCGTTCAGATATTCTAGTTATTCTTGAGAGTTGCTCAGAAATCTATCTTATTATCAATTACAAGCCAAATGCTGTTAATGTCGGTGGCCCTTGGACCACAATTTGGGAAACAATGACTTATTGTTATAAAAAATATGTTAATCACTCAATATGCTAAATATTATTTTTTTATAATCTGAAGAAAAGACAGACACTAAGTATTTTTTTAATTAAGTAATAAATAACAGGGGATTTAAATCTGTATGGAATAGAATATGTCAAACCCTTGCTCGTTACTAGCTATTTGTATTTGAGCAACCTGTGTAATCCCTTTAAGTCAATCCATCTCTAGAAATGGCTGCTGAGGAGTAAAATATTAAGGCTTTGATCCACAGATGTGGATGTTAATTAAGTCCTGACAGCAAGGCACACATTTTACAGAATGACTGCTTACATTTTTAGATAATTGGATTTATAATTAAATTAATTGCTCATTTATTTTTGAAATGATGTAATGCAGGCAGAGGAATGTAAAAATAGTGGAACTCCATTTGTGATATTTATAGCACATTTTTTTCCTGGGATAATTTAAGCCCATGGTGTCACACAGGACTATAACTGCTACAGCCATGCATGTTCCCTGGAATTTCAGGAAACCATCATTTTTAGGTGGTAACAAAAATAGGAAATCCCACATAGATTTTTGTCCTACATTTTAGAAGTGTGTGTATGTATGTACCTCATAAAGTTTGAGAAAATGCAGAAAAGCCCTGCTGATTCCAAACTATCCTGCCCATGGAACAGATAGGGTACCAACTCCACACAGTTATTTTGCTTAGAATTACAAAATATGAGATGCTAATGGAAAATAAAGATAGTAATAATGAGCAAATCAGGTGATGTGGTTTCTTGATTATCAGCAATTCTGAGAATTACTGATTCAATTAATGAACAAAAGAGGTACTATTTTAGCAAGCAAGATTTAGAATTCACATATGTATTTATGAGATTCCACTC